CACCACTGGTCTAAGACCCAGCCTGCAAGTGAGACAGGAAAAAGTATTGGGTAATAAACCCACACCTGGTGTACACAGAGCTGGGAAGAGCCTGGGCAGAGGCTGGGCTGGGCTGGAGGTGCTGCTCAGCTCTGAGGGTGCTGCTTGCCTGCCTGCCTGCACCCTGCCCAAACCATGCTGCAGCACCCCTGGAAACAGCAGAGATACCAGGCACAAAGCATCCCTTCCCATAGCTCTGCAGAGGGCACGGAAAGAGAAGTTCCTAATTTGCAGGGTTGGTAAAGAGTCAGAGGAGATCTGCAAGGACCTCCCAGGGACAGACTGTCTGCCAACATGTCCCCTAGCACAGGGGCTGGCCACCACCTGAGGCAGCAGTAAGACAGCAAAGGCCCCTGTGTGCAGGAGTGGGGCTGATGCTCCCTGGGTCTCCCTCTATCTGTGACAGGAGTAGCGCACTGCCTTTCCCTGCCCAACCCTGCCATGCGTGGACCAGATGGCCAAGCTGCATGGAGCACCCCGGGCATGCTGCCTGCTCTCTTGCCTGCGCCCTCCAAGCTCGGGCATGTGCAGGGCTGTAAACACACAAGCAGTGCAGGGAGAGGGTCCAGGGGCTGCTGATGGACAGCACTTCCTTACGGAACCGATGAACAGGGGCAGAGCAGTTGATGTCATCTACCTGGACTTGTGCAAAGCGTTCGACACTGTCCCACACGACATCCTTGTCTCTAAATTGGAGAGACATCAATTTGATGGATGGACCACTCGGTGGATAAAGAACTGGCTGGATGGCCACACACAAAGAGTTGTGGTCAATGGCTCAATGTCCGGATGGAGACCAGTAACGAGTGGTGTCCCTCAGGGATCGGTGTTGGGACCGGTCTTGTTCAACACCTTTGTCGCTGACATGGACAGTGGGATCGAGTGTGCCCTCAGCAAGTTTGCCGATGACACCAAGCTGTGTGGTTCGGTTGATACCCTGGAGGGAAGGAATGCCATCCAGAGGGACCTCGACACGCTTGTGAGGTGGGCTGATGCCAACCTCATGAAGTTTAACCATGCCAAGTGCAAGGTCCTACACCTGGGTCGGAGCAATCCCAGGCACAGCTACAGGTTGGGCAGAGAAGAGATTCAGAGCAGCCCTGCGGAGAAGGACTTGGGGGTGTTGGTTGATGAGAAAATGAACATGAGCCAGCTTCACTGTGCACTCACAGCCCAGAAAGCAACCGTATCCTGGGCTGCATCAAAAGGAGCGTGAGACCTGCTCTCGTGAGACCTCACCTGGAGCATTGTGTGCAGTTCTGGTGTCCTCAGCATAAAAAGGACATGGAACTGTTGGAACAAGTCCAGAGGAGGCCACGAGGATGATCAGGGGCTGGAGCACCTCCTGTATGAAGATAGGCTGAGAAAGTTGGGGCTGTTCAGCCTGGAGAAGAGAAGGCTGCTTGGAGACCTCAGAGCAGCCTTCCAGTATCTGAAGGGGGCCTATAGGGATGCTGGGGAGGGACTCTTCATTAGGGACTGTAGTGATAGGACAAGGGGTAATGGGTTAAAACTGAAACAGGGGAAGTTTAGATTGGATATAAGGAAGAAATTCATTACTGTGAGGGTCATGAGGCACTGGAATGGGTTGCCCAGGGAGGCTGTGAATGCTCCATCCCTGGCAGTGTTCAAGGCCAGGTTGGACAGAGCCCTGGGTGCCCTGGTTTAGTGTGAGGTGTCCCTGCCCATGGCAGGGGGGTTGGAACTGGATGATCTTAAGGTCCTTTCAACCCTAACTATTCTATGACTCTATGTAACAGCATCAAAACCTTTGATCAGAACAGGCACATGAGGGACAGCACATGGAATAGAGCATTTCCCAGCTATTGCAGAAGCAATGTGCCCTCTGATCTGCAAACCTGGTGATCACCAGAGAGTGATTTGCAAATCTTCCCCTTTGGGGTTCAGCAGGGGATCTCTCCCTGTATCTGTGGTCCTCAGATCTGTTTAGCATCTTACCAATGCAGTGTGATCCATCAGGGCTGATCATGAAACCACATGGACATGCGCACACGTAGCTGCCTGCTGTGTTAGTGCCCTCGCCACCATCGCACACGCCAGAGGTTGCACCACACTCATCCACATCTAGAAAAGAACAAACCAACAGTGATTAGGATTCCCTGCAAATCATCTCCTTTCCTGGAGTGCAGATCCAGGACTAGAGCTTGGATCACAGAGGAAAGCAGCTGCTGTTGTGGGTTGTCATGGGATGCTTGACACCGGCTCATGCATTATCCACTGGATTTCTCCATACAGGAGGGATTTAGATCAATTTTTAGTGCATTCAAGCATCTAAATCCAGGTGAAAAGGCCTCTGTACTATCAGGGGCTCCTGGGGCTGAGGAGCAAGATGGTTGTGACACCCATCAGTTTGTGGTTTCATGATGTGCTGACCTGCTCCTGCAGCACAACAAGCCCCAGAGCTGCTCCAGGTATGGTCTGGGTGTGACTGATGGCTTCAGCTCTCACCTCGGGTACATCACCCATGGCAAAGGGGATGCTCACACCTCCTGGCCAACGGTGAATCCCCTGAATCTCCCTGTCTCTGCGACAAGGTGCTGATGAAGGTTGTGCTGGTCCTGGAAGGAGCATCAGCCTGCCTCACCCTGACCAGCTGCACTTCTGGCTCTGTTAGGGTCAGGGAACACTTTTACCTCTGGTAGCACCAGCTCATGAATCAGCATGGGGACAGCACAGCCAGACAAGGAAGTCCAGGCTGAATCTGAAGCAGCCAGCTTGAGCAGCCAAGCTGCTATAGCCACTAGAGGAGGATCCATGAGGACACCCATGGCTGGTGCTGGCACAGGCTACAGACCTGCCTGAGTACCTCCAGGCATGTCATAGCTGCCCTTAACACTGCAGCCTGCAAAAGAGACAGGCATTGGGATGGGACATAGCCTTGTGCCAGACCCCTAGGCCCAGCCTAGTGTGTGTATCAGCTGTCCCTTTTGGGATGTCCGTGCCATGCATCCATTCTTGGTTTCTGTCTTTGATGAGGACCAGGAATGGCCACGGGGGTGCTCAGGATCCGAGGTGCAGCACCCTGATGTGCTGGGGAACAGGGAGCTCAGCCGTATCTTCTTTGCAAACACTGCTTAATCCAGCCCTGGAGCGCTCCATGGGAAAAAATCAAAGTGTGAATCATCCTACTCCAAACCTCAAACCATTTCACAGCATCCCTCGCTCTGCTGAAGTTCTCCCTCTCCTCCATACGCCTCAGTGGGAAGCAGACACGAATTCCCACATCCCAGCTCCTCGCCGGGCTCGCTCTGCCCTCTAGTAGCGGCTGGAATTACGGCAACGGGCTGTTTGTGAGCGGGGCCTCACCAGGGGCTTGGGGAGGGATAGGGGGTCACCAGGGCTTAGGGAGGGGGTCACTGTGGGGTCTGAAGAGGTGGTGGGGAATCATCAAGAGTTTGAGGGTGGGATAGGGGTTCACCAACGGTATGTAGAAGGGGGTCACCAAGGGTCTGAGGAGGGGGCAGAGGGTCACCAGGGGTCCGAGGATGGGTAAGGGGTCACCAGGAGATTGGGGAGGGGATAAAGGGTCACCAGAGCCCGCCCTGGCTCCGCTGGCATCACGGACCCGCAGCCGGCACGGGCAGAGCCGGGCGGTGCTCCCGCAGTGCCAGCCCCTGAGCGAGTCATTCCCAATGCCGCTGCCGAGCCAGCCTGGAAACCCCTGCTGGAGCCCCGGCGGGTGGCACAGGGCAGGCAGCGGGGTCCGCACGGCCCGGCCCGGCCCGGGGCGCTGGGACCCGAACGGCCCCGGGGCTCGGCCGTGGGAAGCGGAGCGGGGCGGAGCGGGGCGGAGGCGGCGGAGCGGGCACATGCGCCGTGCGCGCACTGCGGAGCGGCGCGGAGGGGCGCGCAGCGGGAGCGCGGCTGCCGCCGCAGCCCTGCGCAGCCCCGGGGGCAGCCGCGGAGGGAGAGACCCCCCCCCCCCCCCCCGAACCCCCGAAGCCGGCGGAGGTGAGCGGGGAGGGATGCGGGAATGACGCGGCACGGGGAAAGCGGGGGTACCCCCATTTGTGAGTTGCAAGGGGGGTATCATTGCTTGGCAGCCTCGTTATTGGGGTCCCCCTTGGCTTTGCGTCCTTTTTTGAGGGGGGTGGCATCCGTGCATGGAGGGGATCCCCCAGCGCTCTGCATCATTTAATGGATGGGGGGGGATCTCCACCACTCTGCATCCCTGCATGATGGGGGGTCCGGGCCGCTTTGCATCCCTGGGTTGCAGGGGTGTCCCTCATAGCTTTGCATCGTGCATGGGGTGTGTGTGTGTGTGTGTGTGTATATGTCGCTTTGCAGCCTCGCATTAGGAGGGGGCTGTCCAAGCTTCTTTGCATCCCTGAGTGGAGAGTGCCTGTCACTTCACACCTATTCATGGGGGGGGGTGGTAAGGATGATCCTTTGCATGGAACGGAGAGAGTCAGGCTGCTTTGCACCTTTTCATGCAGGGGAGCCCCCAAATTACTTAACACATTTACATCACGGTACTCTGAGCCTCTTTGGACCTTTGCATGTGTGTGGGTGCTTTCACTTTGCATTCCTGCATGGACAGTGGGGTACCTGACTCCTTTCACACTTGCATTGGGGGAGGCACATCACTTTACCTCTTTGCATCGTGGGGAGGGAGGATCCACCATTGCTTTTCGTTTTTACGTCATTGTGGAAGATAAGAGGGTGTGCAGCGAGAGGCACAGCATAGAGTAGGGCTCATCACCCCCGGGTAGGGAATGTGGAGGGTATGGAGGGGCTGCAGCATGGTGCGAGCCTAGAGGAGCAGAGGGGACAAGGCCAAGCAGGTCAGAAACCTGATAGCAGCTGCCATGCGTGGAACCTCCTAACGTAGGGCCCTCCCTGGGGTTTGGAGCCCCTCCAGCAGCCCCACAAGCAGGTTGCAGGCAGGCACACACCCCCAAAGAGCGCAGAGCTGGGGCCTCCATCCTCCATGATTCAGCTACTTGCAGAGAGCTTTAATTCTATGGCTTCAAACTCGAGTTCTTGCTGCCTCGTGGTGGTGTCAGCACGATAAAATACCTATGGATTAAGATGCTTTTTCGTGTAGTTTGTGGCTGCTTTGTCTGTGGCTGCCTGGCCCAGAGCAGCCAGGGGCCGGATACAGTGCCGGACACAAGCTGAAGGGAGGGAGCACAGAGCTATGGGCAGATCAGCAATGGCAGAATTAATAATTTATCTATCTCCAAACTTCAGCATGCCAAGGTACACCCCTCAGTTGCTGCATCTCATTGCCTGGGTTTTAAAGAGGTTGCTAGATTCATTAATATACATATATATATAAAATAACAGCATTTGTGTATCTCAGTAGCATCCCCATGGCAGGTGAACAGCTTGGCACTGAGGAGAGGTTGAAGAGGGCATCAGCCAAGCAAAACTTCATCTGGCAGCTAGGAGGTTAATGTGCACCGTGCTCTTCTGTCACAGATGCAGAGCACGCCAAGGGCTCTTACACATGATGCCTGTGATGCAACTTAGACCCCAAATGTCCGCTCCTTCCCCAAGGAGCTGAAGCCCACGGAGAAGACTCGAGATGAAGCCTATTTTGCTTTGAGCTATCATCTCACTTGGCCCACTTCTGAACCAAAGATGCTCATCCTCCATTTTATGGTGGATGACAAATCAGCTGCAGATGCCAAGATCTTGACAAGTTACGAATAACAGCCCTCAAGCCCAAAGTGTTAAAATAAAACAGGCAGGAATGCTTTCCTTTTTGCAGAGCTGCTTATCCCAAAAGGCACCCTCTGGGAAGGGACCACCCGAGCGCATGGCACAGCCCTGGGGGAATCGCATTTGAGCTGGCTGGAGATGCCAGCTCTCTGGCTGGAGATGCCGGTCCTGCAGCTGTTCCCAAAGGCAGTGAGAGCCGGCTTTCCAGAAGGACCCTCGCTGCTTGCTGAGGGTTTCCTGGGTTTATCAAAGCTCCTTCTATACTGGGCAGAATAAGGGTGGTTTGTTCAGCAGCATCCTGGTCACACAAACCGCCGGCGAGCAAGAGGGGTCCTTCTGTTAATGAGCTGAGCACAAAAGGGAGAGAAATGTCATTGAGGGTTTTCTTTTGGTGATAGAGAGTCATGAGAAACGACACATGATTCCCCGGTCAGCAGGGATCTCTTCCAGCCAAAACATAGCTGGGATCTGTGCCGCTGTTCCCACCACCCCATCCCCTGACTCCTCCTCTGGAGATCGAGGCAGGCATTGCTGCTCCCAGGCAGCATCAGCACGGGAGCCACACACAGAACCACCAAAGGATGATGGAGGGGGATCACACATAGTTTTATCCACCCCTTTCTCCCTTCAGCATACTGGGGCATTGTGTTTGCATGGATTTTGTTTGTATCCAAAGCAGAGACAGAGCCAAAAGGTGGCTGTGGAGCTGGGGCTCGCAGCAGCTTCTATGGGATGGGAAGGGCCTGGTGAATTGGCCCTTGGCTCCATCAGCATCACTGAGAGATCAAGCCACACATCAACTAAAACCTAAGGAAAACAAGTATCTGAAAACCCATGTGCCAAATCACTGTTTGCTACCCGCAAACCTGTGAAGAAACATCATTTAGATAAAAAACAGTGCAAGGAGCCTGCTTGCTTTAAACCCAGCTGGCAGCAGGATGAGCTTTTTATACTAACCCCAAGGTAACGAGGCCGTTGCATTTATGGCATCCTCCTAAGCAGGCTTCTGTTGAAGGTTGGTGTTGCAGAGCCCAGCCTTCAGAGGCGTTTGTGATTTAGAGGCAATTTAGTCAAGTGCTGTTCCTAGAGCTGAAGCGTTCTGCAGTAGAAAGGGGGGGGGGGGGGAAAACTACTGTGGCATTTACTAATAAAACTCTTTAGGAATATTTTTAGCTGTGCTTTAACGTTATGTTGCACTTTGCTGTGAAGTGTTTGCTCGCTGAAGCCTCCTGGCAGTTGTTAGTTGTGGTAGAGCTGCCTTTAGCTGAGTTAGCAGGGGAGGAGAGCTGCAGATGGACTGGAGGAGAGGTGCTGCTGCGGGGTGGGTGGTGTGCCTTCCTATGGGACACAGGTCACTGGTGCAGTCCCAGCCCAGAGAGTGATGCAGCTCTGCCCCAGGGCCAGCCGGAGACCCAGCTCCCTCCTTCTGTTTGGCTGGAGGGCCTGACCCTTCCCCTGCTGCTGCAGCTCAGCCCTAATCTGTACTTGGCCAACAGCAAATATTCCTCTGGGCCACCAGGATCAGGGCTGAGACCTCTCAACTGTGAGTCCCCAGCCCCCAGCTGCAGGTGGGGGACCACAAACAGCATCCCACAGTTTGAGGCTTTTCAGTCCCAAAGGCATTTTGCCATCCAATGCTTTCACATGAGATGTTCTAATCCTTCTCACTTGGGATGGGGCTGGGATGCTTCCCATGGCCCCAGATCATGTGTAAAGGTGGACACGTGGATGCGGAGAGGTCCAGGAGGTGGTGTTGCTTCTCCCATACCCATCAGCCTCAGCACAATGAGAATTTACTCCCACTGAAGATCTGCCCTCTGGTTTATTTTAAGCAAGGGGAATGCTGGAGATCCAACCAGCTTTAATACATTTCACCTTTGGACAAGAGCTCTGGAGTGATGATCGGCTTCGCACAAAGCAGGGACATTTGTCACGTTGGTAGCATTCAGTTGTTTGGACTAGCAACAGATTAGAAGGTGGTCACAGATGCATTTCATGAATTAGAGCAATGAGTCCTTGTGGTGCAGATCACGCTCCATTTTGAGTGAAGTAAATCAGCAGATCTGGTCCAGCTCTAGCAAGGAGGTTTCTCCGCATTGCAAAGAGCCACCTGCACAGTTTCTGATGGTTGATTTTTTCCTGATGCACCAAAGCTTCAGCCCCTTCAGGCTACAGACTCTGCTTTCCCTCCTGAGGCTGCCTGTGCTCCACAGCAGCCAAGCACCTGAGGCTGAGAAGCAGGAATTTAGGTTCCCCTGAGGCAGAGGTTGCCCCTCAACCATTATGTAGCTGCTGGTGACCCTGCAGATCTGTCCTGTTGCTCTTTGAACCCTCCTGCACTGATCTCCAGCACGTTCTGGGGCAGAGCTCCACAAACCAACAGCTCAAAGGGCTGCTGCTGCTTTTGCTTCTGTCTGCTCGGAAACACTGCACACCCCAGAGACCCTTCCCAGCCCTCTCATACCAGGTCTGCTCTGCCAGGCTCCACAGGACAGGCTCCTTCAGGCACCTACCAGCCCAGCTGAGTGTCACCTCTGCCTCTTGTCCTTTTCCTCACTCCAGAGTTGGCTTTTTTCCCCTCTTTTCAATAGTTCAGGACTGCCTTGTGTCTCCTCCTTGCTCCTATGCCCACAGCCCTTCTGAACCTTGCCATTGCCAGGGTACCTGCACTGAAACACAGGTTGCGGTCCTGAACAGGCACTGTGAGATTTGGCCCTTCTTGTTTTGATATTAATTTGTAACCTCTTTTGTCTTCTGTTCGAGGATAATGGAGTTTTCAACATACCCCTTTGGTTTCTGCACTGCTTGGGCTCCTGGCATCCAACCAAAGCTTTTGCTCCCTTGCAAAACCCTTCAGTTCCTGGCAGTGTCTGGTCCTCGGTGCTCAGCAGCACCCTGGGGAGCCCAGTTTGGGCAAGAGCTTTGATTACAAGAGTGGAGCAAAGGGACTGTCCTCAAAGCTTGGCCCAGAGCTGAGCTCCCGGTCTTGAGGTGGTTGTGCTCACTGCACCCTTACCCATGTCTTCCCCAAATCCAGGCTCAGGGCTGGTCTTGGCCATCTGGCACATGGTGAATTAGGTTTCTTTTGGCCATCTCATACAAGCTCAGCTGCTGCTTCATATATCATCCATATGGGTGTGCACTGTGCTTCAGTACCCTCACACGAAGTATACCTCCATGGCTGATCATCCTCCCCAGCCCAGCTCTGCTCATTACTGCCATGGCTCCATTTCCAGTCCAGGTTTCTCCTGCAGGAAATGCCCAGCAATAGATAACAAACCCCAAAACTGCCTTCTGTCCCACCCTGGCCCCATGAAGGAGGATGGCAGCAGAGCATCATCCCTCTGCTCTCTCATGCAGTATGAAGCGGGACACTGAAGCTGAGGTGCAGGTAGGCACAAACCAAACATCTGTCATGGGGAATAGCCAGCATGAGAAGCCTGTTGCCACCCAGCTGGTCCCTCCTTGCAGGGCCACCCAGAGCATGCATGATCCTTCAGGCCACTTTGGATGCCAGCACAGGAATCCAGCTTGGCTTTGCAAGTCACAGCTCAGTCTCAGTGGGAGAAGGCAAGTGGGTCTGAGGGCAGAGTGAAGGTGAGGAGACAGTTATGTACATGAAGAGCTATTGCAAAGAATATAAGGAGCAATAGCTGGACATGAAACTCAAATCTTTTGGACCCTCTGACAAAACAAGAGCTGCTTGCCTGCCCCTGATGGACCCCGAGGACTTAAGCTGCCAGATGTGATGCCTGCAGAGATGAAGGATGACATCTGGAAGGAGCCAGCTGTAGGGGTCACCTGTAAGCCAGCACCTGCAGCTCACACTGCCCATCTGGTCTGCAGGGACCTGGGGCTGGCAGTCATGGTCCAGGGCAGCACTGAGCTCCATCCCTTCTGTTCTCTCCCCCTGCATGGCCTGGGAAAGGAGGGACCGCTCCAGGGTTTGGGATGCTGCAGTCAATTTGCTGATTGTTCCATGGGAGAAATCAGCTTCTTAGGGCAGAAGATAAAGCTCATTCCTTGTCTCCTCTCCCCTGCCTGGGTATTTCAGCTGATCTTTGCTTGGGCAGCAGTGAGTTGGATGTGGAGAAGTGGGCACTTTCTAGTTACCATCATCATCAACTGTGTCCTTGGTCCTACAGCTGAGCTGTCACCACTGCCTTTCACCTGCAGTGTTTCCCAGTACTACAAGACCCAGAGTTATTGACCTGGTCAGTAGTTAGGGAGAGAAGATGAGTGATGGGAGAGCCTACAGTGTGCCTGTGCCATGGCAGCAGCTCCTGGGAAGCCCCCAGCTGATCCCGTTCCTGCCTTCCACCTCCAGGAAATTCCTGCTGGGTTTGCGGCTCTCATTTTCCTCCTCCTGCAGCCTGACATTGGCATTACCCCTCTGATTGCTCCTCACTTCCACTGAGGAGATAACAAAACCTCATGGATTTAGTCCATGGGAGCAATATTAGAACCTGGCTGATGTCCCCAGACCCAGCAGAAGAGATGCTCACGCTACAACAACGTCCCACAGATGCGCATGGGAATGAGAAGCCTCAGACCATTGCAGTTGGTTGAGGTTGCATCTGTGAATCCCACACCCAGGAAGCACCTAGAGAAACTGGGACTGTCCATGAGAAATAAATAAAGAGGAGCTAACCTTGCTGACTGTGGCTGGAAAAGCCCATATAGCCACCTAAACCTGAGTGAGGCTTTGAAGATGGACCATCATGGGGGCTTGTACCATTATGCCAAAGCAGCAGAAAGGTGGGATGCGAGGGACTGTGCGGGGCAGCTGTAGCTGGAATCTCCTCATTGCCTCAGAGCCATCTGCTGCATCTCCTAATGCACCCTCAGCTAGAAAGGAAAGAAAGACCCGAGCCCTCAGGGGCTGGTACCTCTCCTGAGCTGTAATCAGAGAGGAGAGCAGGAAGGGAAGGCTTCATCCCCACCTACAAGCATCCACGGCCAGCAAGGATAGACATGTATCCCAAGGGAGGATTTTAGGAACTCCTTTCCACACCCTTGGTGCCAGAACAGGCATCTGATAGCAGAACCCAGCCCATGGCTCAGATGCCTTGCACCAAATCCGTGCCAGCACCCACCTGAGGGACCTACCTGGGGCAGGAGCTGCTTGCAGGGGTGATACCCAGCAGGGTCTGGCTAGGAGCAAGGCTGGAGCATCCTTCAGGGCAGGACTAGCACCCCCAGCTGAGCTTAAATAAACTCCTGGCCCATGGGTGGGGATATGGGTCCCAGGTGAGGCTGCTCAGGGGCTAATAGTGCCTATGGGAAGATGGTAATTTGGTCCTGCAGCTGCCCAGATGTGGCTTTACTGGAGCATTGGCAAGCTGGGCTGTACTGGGGGTGCCATAGTGGTTGCTGCTAAGCCTGATGCACATGGTGTGTCAGTGATGGCCCGTGGTGCTGAGCACTGAGGTCGGGTCTGGTGTGGCCACGTGTGTGGAAGAAATCATGAAGTGCTCTTGGCCAAACTCTATCCATGTTTGGAATATGAGCCATTAACTGGGGAGGTTAAACCCAGCAACTGAAAAGTTGCCTGTCCTGGCTACCCTGACCTAAAAATGTGTGTGCCTAACTCCTTGGTTTCTTCTGCTGCAAGCTCTGAGTCTTGTTAGTGCTTTTGGGGGGGGAGATTAAAGGGACCTTTCTTCTCCAGGATGCTCTCCCGTGGCATGGTTTCACATGCTGTTATCAGACCACATCCCCACCCTCTGCCCCGCTGGCTGTCCTTGCTGGGAAGTATCAGACCTCAGATCCTTCTTTGCTTCATTCCCTTCTGTGGTCCCCATGAGGGCTGGAGGCTGATTCCCCCCAGGCCCCATGCGCAGGACAAAAAGCCCCGGTGCCAGTGGCCGTGTCCCAAGCGGATGGTGAGAATGGCTCTTTGTTCCCTGTTTCTAATTGCTGGGCCCAAGCAGCTCATTAACTGCTCTGCCCTGCACCCTCCGGTCCCTGCAGCCACTGCCATGGGGACATGCTGGGGCTCAGCCTCTGAGTGCACATGTTGGGGTGATAGGTGAAACCATCTCGAAGTGAGCCTGGGGTGAAGCTGCCAGCATTGCTCCTCTCTTTATAAGCCCAAGTGGGGTTAAGGGGGTGCCTGCAAAGAGGAGCTGTGTGTATCCAGAGCAAACATCCATCAGCAACATCCAGAGCCTCCCCTGCAAACTCCATCACAGTTTTCTCAGCCAAAATACACCCGGCTGGCAGAAGCCTCTAGGATTTTTGGGGAGCCAGGAACAGTACCAGCTCCCCACGCATGTGCAGTGACTTTGGGAAGCGCCAGAGGACACACGGTTGCCTCTAAGGAGGGTTCAGGGCTGGGGTCCTTCCTCCAGTGGCCTGTGTGCCCTGGGGCAGAGCAGAGCCCAACCCTGCGCATACAGCTCCGGAAGCACAATCAGCCCTTTGGGAAGCTCGATATGAATGATTTAGGGACAAGTTTGGGACTCTTTCATGGAGGCAGCTTGCATTTGCATTTGAAAACTGCGAAGGAGCTGGCGGTGCTGGTGGGGGGACGGGTGCCATCAATGGGAAACTGTTCTGTCGAATGCTCCCGGGGCCAAAAAATGTGAACTCTGCAGATTTCTGGCTCCGTTCGTGGTTGGGATTGCTGTGCCCAGCTGCTCTGCTCCCAGCTATTAACAGCACTGCTCGGGAGCTGCGTTTCCTTCACTGCCAAAGCAGAGCGGGCGTTTGTGAAGGATGGGGTTAATGGGGGTGTGGAATGGGGGGATCCATCTCACTGTTCATGCCCTCCGGTCCTTACCGGCCCTGGATCCAATTCCTGGTGATTGCAATGCTGAAGCCATCAGTTTGTCTTTGCATTAGGGATGGATCTGAGGCCTGATGCACTCGTGTCACATAAGACCCCCTTGTGCAAGCCTGTGTGCTTTGTGCCTGTCCATGTCCCAGTCCCAGCCTGCAGCACCCCAGGAGACAGCACCATGGTTAATAAATGCCCCTTTTTGTGCTCCTTTCTCAGCCTATTTCACACCAATTGCCCTTTACATCAGTGGGGTGACCTGCCCCCAGCACCCCCTTCCTACCCCACTGCACCCATTATCCTCCTTCCTTGCCAGCTGCCAGAAGTGTTCTCACTGGAGATGGGACTGCTGGGTGCAGGCATCTCCCTACATCTCCTCAAGACCCATAGAAAAAGAACCATCCCCAGTTCAGGCAAGGATGGCATGGAGCAGGGGGCATGTAGGGTGCGACAGAGAGCTGGCCACGGGAGCTTGCCTCGGTGTGCACAAATAAAACCCCGGAGAGCTTTGCACTGAGCTGGAAGTAATGGCATTACAAGCGCTTGCTCGCTTCTGGCTGCTGTTTGGGTTGGATGAGGCTTTTCAGAGCTGCAGCACATGGGGATTTGCTCCTGGTTTGCGCACAGCTCCAGGAAGGGAAGTGGGAAAAGCTCCCTGGGTACAGTGGCTTGGCAGTGGAGCACAAGGGTAGGGTCCTCACCTCCATCCTGGCGTTCTCTGGTTTGCACCCCCAGAGCATCCCCTGCTTGGAAGAGCCCTGATGCCACTGCATGGGCTGCACTTGCTGTGTACCGGTGCAGGCAGGATGAGTGCCCTGGGCAGAGAGCAGAGGGAATGGGGATAAAAACAGACAAATGGTAAAAGCTGAGTGTTTCTTGTTCTCTCTTTGCCCAGGAGAGGCGTGAGGGCTCGCCGGCAGCATGCCGCTGGTGAAGAGGAATATCGAGCCCCGGCACCTGTGCCGGGGGGCTCTTCCGGAGGGGGTGACGAGTGAGCTGGAATGTGTCACCAACAGCACGCTGGCTGCCATCATCAAGCAGCTGGGCAGCCTCAGTAAGTCACAGCACAGTGACCTCAGCGTGGGATGCTGGTGGGATGCTGGTGGGATGCTGATGGGACACCGCAATTGCTTGGTCCAGTTCCAATCACAGAGAAATGGGGCTATGTGAGAGCCATGTGGGCTGCAACCACCCCGAATTCAGTGGGAATTATCCAGCTAATTAAAAAAGGAGGATGCTCAGGGTCAAGCCCTAATGGGGACTTGATGACATTTTTAAGACCCATTTTCCTCCCGTAGTTGATCTGTGCAGTGGGGGACAAAAAAGCCTTTGTGAGCCTCTTGCTTCTTGAGTTGGCCTGAAACAGGAGGGTCAGGTGAAGATTAAAAAACCCCAACCTATTCATTTTGATCTTAGAGCTTTGTGTGAAAGAGAGGTCTATATAAAAGGTCTAAATCCTCATCTGTCTTCCTATGCTGGGACTGCTTTCAGCAGAAAAGGGGAGGATGAGAGCACTGCACACACCAGTGTGCAGATTTAATAGGGGCAACCTATTTCACTGCTGAGTATTGACTTAAAATAGAGAAAGAAGCACAGGCTTTGCAGGGCCCCCCCTCTGATTTCCCCCTCCTCCAGAACTAGATTCTTCTCTAAAATACTCCCAGAAAAAATAAACCCTGTCTTTAGGGAGCTGCTGGAAGCACAGGCGCTCACATGAGCAGCACCCATGGATGCTCAGGCTATGGCTCCTCATCCAGGGGAAAAGGGAATCAAATACAAATGTTTGAGTTGGGTGACAGGCTGAGAGGATTCCAGAAGTGCCTTGATTCCAGGAGCCATTCGATGCATGGTTTTGGAGGAAACCTCCAGGTGCTGGGCTGGGGGATGAAATGGGATGGGTGCTGTAGCCTGCAGATGTCAGCAGTGCTCTGCCAGGTGCCCTGCTCAGTCCCGTGATAGTCACAGCCCTAATGAAGAGTTATCATAACACCGAGCGCTGCAGGGGAATAACTGCTAAAGTGAAATAAATGACAGTTTCCCCCTGCTGTAGCACTCTCCCCACTGCCCTGCTCCTGGTTTTCCACCTTCAGGACTGGGTTTCCACAGGTCATGTTGTATGATGGTGGGTTTTTTGGCTGTATCTGTCCTATTAGATCCAAAGGCTTTTTATGGCACAGAGAGTGATGATTTAGTGCCTCCCATGGGTACCACTGTCACTGAAAAGGATGCTCGTGCACAGAGGAGTGGGCAGGAGCAGGGTGGGTGGTTTGTGCTCACCTCCCTTCATGCAACACTTTGCCAGGTCTGGGAGAGAATGAGGCTCAGCTCCCAAAACCCATGGCTGGGGAGGGAGCCCCATGGAGCCCGTGAGGGAAGGTGTGAGGTGCAGGGGTGGGCAGGGTGAGAGCTGCCTGCCAGCCACTGCTGCCTGACATGTGCGCACTGCCCTCTGCCAGGCAGGCACGCAGAGGACATCTTCGGAGAGCTGTTCAATGAAGCCAACAGCTTCTACATGAGGATGAACTCACTGCAGGAGAGGGTGGACCTGCTGGTCATCAAGGTGACGCAGCTGGACTCCACGGTGGAGGAAGGTGAGGGGCTGGGGCTGTTTTGGGGTGGTGGCTGGGTGCTCAGGGCCAGACTAGCCCCAGGTTCATGGGGCTGAGGCCACCCCTGCATCCCCTCTTCTTCTTGTGCCCCCAGTTTCACTGCAGGACATCAACATGAGGAAAGCCTTCAAGAGCTCCACGGTGCAGAACCAACAGGTCGTGTCTCGCAACTCTATCCCCAACCCAGTAATGGAGATGTACCAGCGCTGCGACAAGCCCCCGCCACTCAACATCCTCACACCCTACAGGTAGGGTGGCCAGTGCATCACTCCTTGGGGGGAACAAAAGGGTCCTGGAGGTCCTTTCCAGGAGAGACACCAGGGTTGCACCCCATTTGCTGCTCAGCAAGGGCTGAGAGGTTATTTTCTCCAGTTGTTGTGCCACCATCCCCAGGGTGTAGGGTGGTTGGGACGCAGTGGTACCCCAGATAGTGACTGTTATGTTGGACATGTTCGTGGTGGGGCAACAGCTTGTGACTGTGCTCATACCACCCCAACATGCTCAAGGGAAGGGGGGTGTTCTCCTATGGCTGATAACCCACTCTCCCAACCCACCAGGGATGACAAAAAGGATGGCCTCAAATTCTACACTGACCCCTCCTACTTCTTCAACTTATGGAAGGAGAAAATGTTGCAGGCAACAGAAGATAAGAGAAAGGAGAAGCGCAGGCAGAAGGTAAGAGGCAGGTGGGGATCCTTGGCGGGGGGATGTCCCAGGACCTGGAGGACAATCACCTTCCTGGTGCATCCCGTGTGCTCCAGCCCATTGCAGTGGGCACATCTCATGGTGCTGGGTGGTGACCATGGAGGAGCTGGGCTGAGATGGAGCCGTGGCTTGTGTGTGCCCCCAGGAGCAGCGGCTGGTGGAAGACTCCACCCGGGAGGTGAAGAAAGTGAGGAAAGCCCGCAACCGGCGCCTGGAGTGGAACATGATGGCGTATGATAAAGAGTTCCGGCCCGATAACAGGTTCTCACCATCCCCCTATCACATGGCGTCATCGGAAGGATCACTGTCCCCAGATAATAGGCAGGTTTTACCTACTGCACGTTTAGCTCACCGCCTCTCCTTTGCTTTTCTCTGTCTTTGGGGGAATGCGTTGCCTGTTGGAGGGTTGGGATGGCAAACCATACATCCGTGGTAGCTCAGAGGCAGCTGGTGCCTTTAGGGTCGCAACCAGGACCTCAGGAGCAGCCTTGGTGGTGGGATAAAGTTGGAGCACTTTCCATTCAGCAGCTAAGGGAAGAGACTGTGCTGGTGTTCTCCTCCCCTCCGCTATCTCTCTGCTATTGCACGTCTATATTTTGTGCCCATTTCTTGCTTTGCTGTCTCAACCCCAAAATACTCCCAAAAACCCCACATCTCGCTGACACCCCCACCCAGCCACCCCCCCTTCCCAGGAATACAACAGTTGGGTTTTCCTGTGCCATAGATCTTACGCATCGGATGCAGCCGATCACTC